TATCCAACAAATGAGGAACACAGGAGTTTTCAAGAGTCTTGGTTTACAAAAAAATTAAATGATGGGACCTTGGTTAATAGAGATTGGTTATCATATTCCATTTCCACAGATAAAATGTTTTGTTTTCATTGTCAGATATTTGGTAAAACAAAAAGAGACAATTGGATTATTGATGGTGTAAGTAAATGGAAAAATGCATTACATAAAATTTTGGTTCATGAAACATCATCAAACCATATAGATGCATCTTTAAAATTTAAATTAAGGAATCAGGTATTACCTATTCTTCCATCACTGTCCGAAAAAAGAAAATTTGAAGTCCTCTGTAACCGTGGAATAGTAAAAGAACTTATAGATATCACATTGTTTTTAAGCCGCCATTCTCTAGCTTTTCGTGGTCATCGTGAAAAATGGTCAGATTCATTGCGTGGAAACTTCAAAGATTTAGTAGAACTTGTTTCAAACTATTCCCCTACGATGGCACCATACATTTCAAATTTAAAAAATAAAAATAATAAACCTCAGTGGTCTTTCATATCATGGCGGAGACAAAATGAACTCGTAGAATGTATATCAGATGAAATTGTTGGAATTATATCTAAAAGTTTAAAGGATTCTCCTTTTTTTAGTGTCTCACTTGATACAACGTTCGATGTATCTCGTAAAGAACAATTGTCCTTTATTGTTCGTTACATCGACCAAAACTCAGGTAGTATCTATGAACGTGTAATAGCTGTCCTGGAAACACCTATAACAACAGGTTGTGAATTAATGAATGTCTTTAAACAAACTTGTGATTCGTTAAACTTAGATTGGAAAAATCATCTTGTTGGTCAATCGTATGATGGTGCTGCCAATATGAGGGGTAATTATAATGGTCTTCAAAGTTTAATCAAAGAAATTAATCCTCATGCTATTTATGTATGGTGTTGGGCACACCGATTAAACTTGGTGATTACTGATGTTGTAAGTTCAGGAATTAATGCAATGGATATGTTTGGAAATTTAGAAAAATTATATGATTTAATTAATTCAAGTAAAATTAGAGTTAAGTATTATGAACAGTTTCAAAAAGAAAGATATAAAAAGAAACAAATTCGTCGAATAAAACGTGTGACAACTACACGTTGGATGTCTTTTTCATATGCACTAGATGTGGTTTTGAGCACATATTTGGCTGTATTAGACACATTAGAAATAATGCGAAGTACAGATGGACCAAGTGATAGAAAAAGTGGATTTGAAGCTGGAGCTATACTTGATTATTTAAAGTCTTATCGCTTTGTATGGACAGCTTTGACATTTAAAAAATTGTTTGACATACTGTCACCAACCAGCTCAATATTGCAAAGCAAAGATCTAGATCTTATGTTAGCTGTTTCTATGATTGAACAAAATAAAA